AATTGAAGAAAAGAGAAGATCCCCAAATTAGAAGCTACGCGCAACAAAACATCCAAACATACCCAATGTCCGCCAATAGATTTCGTACCTCGACCGCAGAACAAGCCTCCCCGAAATATATAGTCTCGCCGGACGACAAGAGCAGAAGGTCGTCAAAGAGCGCGAAAACCTCGCTGCTCGGCTGGTGAATGGAGGAGACGATCGTGCGGCCCTTGCACGCGATGTTGCGTAGGGCCCGCACTACGAAGAATGCGGATGCGCTGTCGAGGCCGCTGGTGGGCTCGTCCAGGAACAGGAGGCTCGGCTGCGTTATGATTTCGAGGGCAATGCTGAGCCGCTTCTTTTCCCCTCCGCTGATGCCCCTTAGGTGCCAGTTGCCGATGACGTGGTCCCCGCACTCCTGTAGGCCCATCTCGGCAATCGTGTGCTCGACTGCTTCGGTTAGCTCGGCTCTTCTCGTGTAGCTCGGAAGACGAAGGGACGCTGAGTACGCTATCGTCTCGCGGACTGTGAGCGTGCCCAACATCACGTCCTCTTGGGTGACGTAAGCCTGATTGATTTATTAGTCTTGGTTTTATTATTAGTTATTATTAATCACTGATTTAATATGATTAATTTTCTTTTCTTTATTGATTATTGTGTAATAAGCTAAAAAACTTGTGCTTACAACGACACCGTATTGAAGCCTTCTTTTCCTTCCATTAAGACGCACGTCACCAGACATTATCACATTGCCTGAGAGTCTACCTGCACCAAATTCCAAATGGACCATCAGATCTATCTATATATATAGTATATGATAAAAATTAACATTTATTAAAAATAGTACGTCAATCTTTGATCAAAATTGATCAACATTAATTACATGTCATTTATAGTATATATTTTTAATATATTTTTTATTAAAAAATGAACAACATTAAATGTTGTCCTTAAAATGAGGAGTTTGTTATTTTTTTATTTTAAAAAAATGGGCTGCTATTTAAATTTGGTATATTGAATATTTGCGATGGTTTGACACGATGTGCATATCAAAAACTGATAATGCACGGGCTGCATCAATTAAATTTTGTTATTGGTTACAATAAGTTATTTTTAAATTTGAATAAAAATGTACGTCACGACTGCTAATTCAATTAAACATCGTCCAATTATATTCTCCAAATTTAAAACCAGATATTCGGCTAATACAATTGTTTTGCTTGACAGTTTTTTTAAATAAAAAAATTACGACTAATTTAATAATAAAAAAAATTATGTGTTATTTTTTCTAACCATAAAAATATGCTTTTGTATTTTCAAAATATCGGAAACTTTCTTTTTCTATAAAATCAGCTAATACATATGTTTTGATTAGCAAAAATTTATTTAAACAAAATTACGGCTAATTTAAGGGTAAAATTATAAAAAAAAATTATTTGTTTATTTCTTTTGAAAACATTTTTTCTAACCATCAAATCGGGCAGTTTAAATTAAAAGAATAAAGTTGCAGCTATTCAATTGTTTTGTTTGACAATTATTTATAAAGAAAAATAATACACAAGTCTAATTTTGAAACGATCAAATTTCTTATGGTCTTTGTGTAAATCAAAGATTTGAAATAAGAATAATCTCCATATTTAAATTGCTTTAATTGTAAAACGTGATGTATACAAGATTTAGATAGATTTATCACATATCATCCTCTAAATTAATGATTTTTTTTTTTTAAATTTCAACATACCAAATCAAATTTTTTATGGTCTTTGTTTAAATAAGAGATTCAAAATATCTTAATCTCTATATTTAAATTACTTTAATTGTAAAACGTGATGTATACAAGATTTAGATAGATTTATCACATAACTCCCCTAAATTAATGATTTTATTTTTTCTAGGTTTCAAAATACAAAATCTTAAAGTTGCGGCTGATTTAGTTATTAAATGATATTTTGCAATCATAGATTCGGGTTATCTTCAAATTCAAAATTTAAATTGCCGATATGTAGATAAATTTGGATAGATTAAATACATATGATCTAAAATGAAGGATTTTATTCCATTAAAAACATAAAATATGAACTTAAGATGTAGATTTTATTTTGCACGTGTGATAATACAATATTACATGTTATGAAAGTCATATTGTTTACCCGTGCATCGCACGGGCTACGCACTAGTTATGGATAATAATAATAATAATAATAATAATAATAATAATAATAATAATAATAATAATAATAATAGTGTTTTTAATTATTTTGGTGCTCTACCTTGTACGATAGCATTAATTAAGTGCACATCTACCACAAGACATATTAATGTAGTAAGAAAAAAGAAATGTCCGAATTAAATGCAACGAAAGTGGTGTAGTATATGTATGCTTTTGCTTACTAGAAAGCGATGGGTGAGTGAGAATTGAGTCAAATTTATTATTGACAAGTAAAATCGTGGTGGAGTAAAATATATTGCTACTTTGAAAAAAGGGAGGTCATCGGGCACTAGTCAAAATTATTTTAAATGCACGGTGCCTGCGTGGCTGCGTGTTTTTACTTGGATCTTAAATGTTATTGGCCTTTGGTGGTTGCACCCTTGGCTGCCTTTATGCATTGTATCTGAGAAAATCTTCTAAATAAAAAGGAATATCCACAAAAATTCGGTTTACATCTAAAAATATGATTAGTTTGTTTAATAAAATTGGTAATGCAAATATCCTATAATTTTATTCTGAANTTCTTATACTACTATCAATATAAGTAGTAGGAGATGTTTTGTAATTTTTTTCCTTTTAATACGTTGTTGCTTTAATCATTAGGGTAAAGTTTAAAGGTAGTCTCGTAATATCGGGTGTATCAGAAGTTTTTCCATTAGATTACAATTATATAATATAAGTTACCTAAAATTTACTAATTTGAGGACATTTGACCGAAAATCCAAACCTTCGCTGGAAAATTTCATGGGACACCAGCTCAGTATTAGGGCTGAGCACGGGACTCGGAGAATTCCGAATCGTTTCGAAAACCGAACCGAAAAATATCCGTTGACCGTTTGATTTTCTCCGAAACGCACCGAACCGAAAAAATAATTGGTACGGTTTTGGATATTTCATAAATATCTGTACCGAGAACCGAACCGAACCGTCCCGTACCGTACCAAACGGAAGAACCGAAATTCGAATTATAAAAATAAATGCGTGTTATTAATATATTTTATGTCAACTTTGATCTTATATAATTGAGAATTTTTAAAATGCAAACAAAATATAGTAATAACAATTAAGATTCACTTACATTTTATGATTAGCAATACTTGATCTACAATTGAATTTCTCATGTTTAAAAAAAATTAAAATAGAATGAAAGGTTAAAGATTTAAAAAATAAAAATATTTAAGCTGTACATAAAGTTGTCGATACTTAGGCTTAGTTTATCTTATAACTAATATGGTATGGAAGATTAAATAAATATTACTTTAATATAAAACTGCATTATATTTTGTTTGAATTTTAAATTTTCAATGTTAGTTGAATTTAGTCTCAACTAAAATTTAGGGTTACTTCTAAAGTTGATTTAAAAATAAAATCTTTAGTATGGTGAAGTATTGATGAATGTTGAATTAAAAAAAAAACATATAAAAAATAAAATATAACTAGGTTGTCATTCAAAAAATTTTAAAAATGATATGAAATCTCCGAATATTCGAACCGAACCGTTCCGATAGTCCCGAAAACCGAACCAAAAAATAAAAATCTCCGAAACGGACCGAACCGATTTTTGGTACGGTTCTGGAGATCGAATTTTAGTGATATCCAAACTTCGGTACGGTTCTGGAGATTGATAAATCTCCAGAACCGTACCGACTCATTCTCACCCCTACTCAGTATATCTAAAATAGTGATTTTTTAAATGGAAATGACTACATTCTCGTTATAGAATAGTAACATCAATGTTTTTCATCGTTGGATACATATAAAGATTATGTAGTACTACAGATAATCAACCGTAATAAATACAGATGGAGTCATTCGGGCAACATGACTGTAGTAATTTCCTTTTGAATTAATTTGTCGAACTTATTGATTGATTGAATAATTAACAAACTACTTTTGAAACTTTTCCTAAATAATTTTCCACGTAATTTATAATAACATATATGATAAAGACCATCTGTTTTTCATAAATCATTCTCCCGTAATTTATTTAATGTAATAATAATTTCTTTTTTCTCCTCGTTTTTCTATTAATTTTGGGTACATTTCAATTTAGGTACCCCATGCGAATTATAATGCCGGATTTTTTTTTTTTCAAATGTTTTGATTTTTAATAGGAAAAACGAAATTTTCAAATAAAGTAGAAATATACAACGAGAAAATTTTAATAGGTTTATTTATAGAATTCATTCTTTAATAATATATAAATACAAAGACGTATAACTTATAAAAAATTATTTACACCAATTTAATACAGACACGTATAACTTATAAAAAATTATTTACATCTATCTAAATGCATACTAATAGATGATAAAGGCCGTGGTCCAACAAGTGTTACATTTAGCTAAACACGTTATATGCCAATTGGCAATTGCCATGTCGTTGGTGTCTACCAAACATCTCATAAATTCGGTATCATGTAGTAAGTGACAAACAACTCGTAGTCTCGTGACAAACATCTCATAAATTCGATATTCCTAACGTCAGAACTATTTTTTGTATGTAGTGTTATTATTGGTTGTAATTAAATTTTTTAAATCAAGATTTATTTGATTAAATATAGCAACACAACATAAAATATCGATCATTAGGGTAAATAATAGTACCATGTTGTACTAAAAATAGCGTTATACATAATCAAAAGTCGCATCATATATGGTTTTCACAACAAAATTAATTTCTATTATTTGAATCAACTCTTGTGTGCGAAAAAAAATGCTACTTTGACATAACTTTTGGCACAATAGATAACATAGATGGTTTATAGGTATAGAAATAAATGTTTTTAAAATTAATGTAATTTATAAAACCACAAAATCTTATCATGTGCGTGAATATCAATTTTTTACTTACCATACCAAGATATTAGTGAGCAAACCAACCATTAGGTTGAATATGAATGTGCGTGAAATACTCCGCATAAATAAATAAAACCCTACGAGCTGCAGCTATCCACAGCTAAATAAATGCTTTTCATTAATAAGTTAGCTGTGTGGTAAGCTGCATTTTAGACTACATTCACCGTTTATAAAGTATTCCAAGTACCATGATAACTCATTCGTGTCTTTCAGAGGACTTGTTCACATCTTAATGCTATTCTCATTTGATGGAAAGTTATATTATATTATACATATATATATATATATATGTATCATTTTATCTGTATACTGATGTCAAACGAGCGTAACATTGTTAATTTTATAGTTTTATAAGTAAAATTCTTTCTTAGCTAGCGCTAGACATAAACTCTTATTTAAGCCAAAGTAAATGAAAATATTTAATGATCAAGTTAATTAAGGAAGAACGAATTGGACAAATTTTATAGCAGGTTCAAGGGGCGGCCCTGCAAAATCCTGTCCCCTAATTA